AAATGATGTAATTTGAATATAAATTATTTATAAATACGTATGTCAAGTTATATTTTTATTACTACGTAAAATATATTTAAGAGTTTACGGCCACTGTGCCTGGTGAGACGTTGTTGAAACAAAAAATGTTATGCACTCCATCACGTACATAAACAGTATCGTAATTCGCCAAGTGCAAATCAGCAAATTCGTAAAATTTTTGTTTATTTTGAACAATCCGGATAATCGAAAATCCGGATAATGGAGGTCCGGATAATGGAGGTTCTACTGTATTAGAAACTTTTTTAAGTCGTAACTTGAACGTCAAAGGGGTCACGTGACAGTAATTTAGTCTATTGTACACGTAATAAAGGGAAGGAGGTTTTCCAAAAGTACGTCATAGTACACGACAGTGAGGGAGGTGAAAAATGGTTCAAAACTCTACATGTATTTAATGAACGTCCCCATATTTACACAAGGATTCAAAATTACACTTTTTTTTTTTTTTTTAATTTATTAAGCATGGAAAAAACTTCGAAATTTATATTTTAAAAGTAATTTTTAAATTATTTAATTAAATCATAATTTTATTTATTTATCTTAACACAAGATAACGACTTAATCATCTATCTCTAGACCCAAATTCTCGTCCAAAAGTATCCAGTTTTAGGTATATTTAACTGTAAAAAAAATTCGGTTATGGCTTATGTTTATATTGATCAAATTGCATAAGATAAGGGCAGAAAATCAATTAAAATTTATTTAGAACCTCTAGAATATTTGTCTATGGTGTAAATTGCCATTGTTTAGAATTAAATATTAATGATAAAATATCCTTTTGTATTTAAAACTATGTTAAACTTAAATACAGTAGACCCGTTAACTCGTACTAATAGGAGTTGAAGGTTGTTTAGTGGGGTGTTTTCTTTGATGACGTAGATACAGAATACATTAATTTATTACGATTAAATCTATACAGTTTTACTCAGCTTTAGTGTGTTTTAGTACTGAATTTATTATTACAGGAAATGAGCTAAGTACAGTATACAGTAACATTACTGTATACTGTAATAACTTCTGGATATCGAAAAGACTCGTTAATTAAAATTTCGTTATACAGGTAATTATAATTAAATTTTATTATCTATCTAGTTACTGTATAATTTTTTGAAAATATCTAACCTAGTTATGCGAAGTTTGAGCTTGTAGGTGTACTCTACATGACGTAAGTTTCAGCTATGTGTTGATTTAACATGTGTTAATTTCGTATACTGTATAGAATCGATTTTATTCTTATTTACAAGTAAATGATTTTATGCATTAA